AAATCATTCGATTTCAGTAAGAAATGCTATTGGTACTTATATAGCTATTGCACTGAATTTGTAGAATTCTGTAAGATGTCCATTTTAATAATGCTTATTATCCCCATCAATGATTATGGCATTTCTTTTTATTCCTTTGCGTTTTCTTCTATTTATTTTGGGAAAGTCTTAAGTTTTAATGTTCAAACCTTTCACACCATTTGCTAAGCTTATCCAAAGTGTTTTATTTGCTTTGGTGCATTTATAAATAAAATTACTCTTTTAACTTATCCTTTTCTTTAACTCATTTCATATAGAATTTATATATACTGATATGTGTATAAATATATATACTAATATGTTGATTTATGTATTTATGTATATATATATATATATACATTGCTGCTTTACTGAACTCTTTAATGTTTCCTAATTATGCTTTTCTTTTTTTGTGGAGTTCTCATTTTTTAAAAATTATTATTGTTATGTTGTTCTCAAATAGTGGTACTAAAAGTGTTAGCTTTTAGAAATGAAACCCAGTTGCTCTGGTTAGGACTTTTAAAGCGGTAATGAACAATAGTCTTGAACGCATACATCCTTGCTTTGTTTCTTTACTTAGAGGGGACATTTTAATTTTTCACTGCTGAGTTTTATTTTAGTCATTAGTTTGTCATATGCAGGCTTTATTATGTTGAGATACATCCTTTTGTGTTCAATTTACTGCATTTCATCATATGTGGAGGTAGAATTTTGTCAAGTGTCTTTTCAGCATTTGTTTTATAGATTTTTTGCAACTTCTTTCTTTCTCCTCTCTCTCTCTCTCACTCTTTCCTCTGCCTTTTTCTGTCTTTTTCTTCTTTTCCATTCTCTTATCCATCCTGGAGGTGCTAAGGAATTACTCCTGACTCTTCTGAGGTGTCACTCCTGGCAATTCCGGGAATCAAATTGGAATAAGAAAAGTTTAAGGCAAGTTAAATCAAGTTACTCTGGCATGACTTTTATGCTTCTTTTTGGAGGAGAACCTCATAGCCAGCAGTGATCAGAGCTTTCTCCTGTTCTTATGCTCACATATAACTCCTGGAATTGCTTGGGGAACTAGAGATCAAATGTGATAAGCTACAGAAAAAGCAAGCACATTGACCCTTACATAATCACGGCTTATGTTTCTTGTTGATGTTCTGAATTATGTCGATTTGATTTGCAAGAGTAGAAGCATCCTTACAAGCATAAGGTGAGTTCCACTGAGTTATGATGAGTAATTTGCTTGAAGTGCTGTTGGATCTTGTCTTTTGAGATTTTTTTTTTGAGAGCTTTTTTTTTTTGAGATTTTTTTTTTGAGAATCTTTACACATATGTTCATCAAAGTCACTGGTCTATGGTTGTGAGTGTGTATGTTTATGTGTGTGTGTATTTGTGGTGAGTTAGGATCAGTAGGTCAATTATTGAGCAGTTTTATTATACATAAATATGTATCTTCTTATAAGAAATACATTATTTATTTTACTTAAAATGATGCTGTAGCACTACACTGTAGTACTGTCCTCTCATTGTTCATCAACTTGATCGAGCGGGCACCAGTAACGTCTCACAACAAACTGAAACTTGTTACTGTTTTTGGCATATCGAATATGTCATGGGGAGGTTGCCAGGCTTTGCCGTGTGGGTGAGATACTCCCAGTAACTTGCTGGGCTCTGCAAGAGGGGCAGAGGAATCAAATCCAGGTCGGTTGTGTGCAAGGCAGAAGCCTTACTCGCTGTGCTATCGCTCCAGCCCCCCAAAATGATGGTAATTTCTACAAATGAAGAATACAAAATAATATGCATTCCTCCTGCTATTCATAATTAGGATGGAGCAGTAATTGTAAGAAAGTATCAAGAATTTTCTACAAACTAAAATTGAGAGTGTGAGAGGAAGTTGCACACTGATCAGTTGGTCTCAGAAAAACAGTGGGCTCTAGATCCTGTTTGACTTGGATCATATAGGTACTGTAAATGAGTGATGAAGTATTTATTCAAAGGAATGGATCTAATAGAACAGAAAAGGCAATAATCGGGTCTTTATGAATGAATCAATGAAATCAAAACATGGTGTTATTTAATGTAAATGATTCAGCTATGACATCTGAACTAAAAGCATGCATTTTCATTAGATGTGCTAACTAACATAGATTGTGTAAAAAAATCAGTGTCCCATTACTGTATTTAATAGTCAGATTAATTAGTTGTTGGTCCATAATAAGCAGAACATAATGTTGAGCTATTGAATGATTTAAAGCTTTGAAGTTAAAAATTTCTATTTATCCGGGTAAAATACTTTATAACTTATTCTCCCTAAAGGTTCAAAATCTAATTAAACCATGCATATCATTAAAAGCCACATATGCTATCCTAAAAAGATATATAGTTGGAGTGTAATCATAATTATACCTACTAAAAGTGGATGTGAAATGGGGAGGTTGTGTTATCTGCATTTCCTTGTCAAGACCTTTTCTTTTCCCATTGGAATACCCGTATATAATCCATCAATCATGAAAATTAATGGTGTGACTAGCAATACAGGCCATATGGAGATAATCAAGGCATCATAAATCGTGTTATAGCAAATAAAGCCTATAAAAGTGGGACTACTAGCACAGCAATCAAATTTCAAAACCTCCTTTAAGCACTACAGAATGTGATGAAGAGCAGAGGTGAAGGAAAAAAAAATGTCAGCTAGGGAACAATGTACTAACTATTAGAAACAGAGGGCAGACCAGATGTTTGGTGTCTTCTGGGAAGAAAAGTGAGACACCTTCAAATGCCAACACTCAGATATCACTATTCAATTCCTTAAGTTATTGCTCTAGCTAAAATGCTAGAAGCATAACTCAAGGTTCTTATCACCTTTGCCATTATAAGCTGGGACATACTGGACATCTATCATCTAATCTATTGGTTTTGGGCTTCACCTAAGAGTGCTCAGGGTCTACTCCAGGCTCTGCACTTGGGGACTAGTTTTGCCAAGGTCTGGGGGACCATAAGGGCTGTCATGGATCAATCCCAGGTCAGTCAGGTGCAAGGCAAACATCTTGTCCACTGTAGTAACTTTAGCCCTAGATAACTATTTTATTTCCATTCTTCTGCTATTCTTGTTGCATTCTCAGTAAAGAAACTCTAGACTTCCATACAGAGCCTTGCAAATGACTCCTTGACAAAGGTATTTGCGAATACTTAATACTGCTGTAGAAAATTATCTTACTGGATTGAAACAAAATCGACAGTCTTTCCCTATCAATTTTTGATTATTACCATGAATTGGTATATTGACTGGGTTAGCCTCACAGAATAAATAGCAGTGAAATTGGAGAAATGAGTAGGTGAAAGGAGAAATGAAATTTGAATGCCTCATTAATCGGTTCTATTGCCTTCAGAAGGTCCCAAATTAATCGTTCCTGTGATGCAAGTAAATAAAGGAATTCTTGGGATTTAAACTGTGCTTCTCAAACTTTTCTGTGTATCCAAACTTTTTTGTGCTCCACAAACTTCTGTGTATCTCAAACTTAACTCTTGGATCTTAAGATTCAAATTCTAATTTGAGAGGGACAAAAAGTCATTGAGTCTGTATTTCTAGAAATAAAAAAATAAAAAACATGAACCAAACAAACAGGGGGAAGTAAAAGGGGGGGGCTGGAGCCATTGTACAGCAGGTAGGGGGTTTGCCTTGCATGTGGCTGACCCCAGTTCAATTCCCAGCATCCCATATGATCCCCTGAGCACCGCCAGAAGTAATTTCTGAATGCAAAGCCAGGAGTAAGCCCTGTGTATCACTCACTGAGTGTGACCCAAAAAGCAAAACCAAAAACAGAAAGACAATCAACTCTTGGGTAATGCTTAAGCTGCGGACACTGAATCAAAACTATTTAAATCATTGTTAAGTTTGTATTCAGTTACTTGGAGTCAAATGCATATAAAATGCTAATACATAAACAGGGACCTGAATGTTGAATTTATTTTACGTGTATCTATTTGTATGTATGGTAAACAGTAGGAATTCACAGCTATAAAATTCACAGATAAGATGATGACATGAGTGCTCTTTGAAGTCATCTGTGTTAGTGGTGTATACGTGAAGAGTCTTTTGTTCTAGCAGCTAGTCAACTTTAGTATCAAAGAATATCCAGAACAGAAAGTGAGATTTAGAGTGCAGCTGGGAGTCAGGTTTTATTTATGCAATGCTGGTTGCTGCAGGATGTGATCAGAGCATGTGAGGAAGGACAAAATAATTTTTCATACATGATTCTTTTTCGAAGCTGTGTACTTTCAATGATCCTTGAGAATAGAGAGTAACTCAGTCTCCGGTACATCAGTTTCAAGTTTCCCACTTGAGGCTACTAGGTTAAGGAATTCTCTGTACAGTACAGACCAATGTTTAAATCAATTCATTCTAATAGACCAACATCTGCAAGACCCTCAGTGGTCATTTCTATAAAGTATTGAATCAAAATGACTCATTCTCAGCAGAAGTGGAGATTCATATTTTGAGGAGCGCCCTCTCTTCTTAGTTTGTCAGGGAAATAAAAGGTTCAGCAGTCAGTCTCCTTGGTCTTTAAGTACTGAGTTGGAGACCTCATTGAAAACAATTTTAGAGGAAAAAATAATAACTTCTTTTTTGAAAGAGTTTCAAAGGTAATGTGTTTGTCTCTGGGTAATTGATTATTTTAAATTTAAAGGGATATATGAATAGTATGTTATAAATAAGGGCAATCAAATAAGGGAGAATTCAGTTTTATGATTCTTTTAGCAACTGGTGTTTTTGAATTTTGAACATTCCTTGTCCCTATAAATATCCAATTATTTAAAGCCAGAGATACAAGGAGAGGAAAACATTCCACCTCCTACTAAATAGTCGTCTTCATTTTAGACATAGATAGCCTTTAAGGTGAAAGTGGGTTCCAGACAAATGTTTTAACATTAGAAATTGTATTAAATTAATTGGAAAATAGATAAACATTGATAATAGTAATAAAACAAGAGAAGTGAAGAACAGTAAAAGGTAAATACTTTTTAAATGTTACTTAAATAGACATTCAATAAAACCACATCTTTCAAGACAACATAATTAATTGCATAATAGAAAATTCTAGAATTTGCAATTTAAAATGTTGATTAAAAAGCTTCAGTTGAACTTCAAATCACAATAAAAGGAAATTTCCATCTTAATAAAATAGGCAAACTTTCCTTTTAAACATTACAACTCATTTTTGTAAAAATGTGTTTGCCATTCTTGAAAAAGACCTGAAATTGGTCTTTCAAAAAAGAGAGCCTTTCCCTATTTTAAATTGAATCCAGTGTAGTAAAGACAATATTTCAAAGCATTCAGAAGAGAAGTGGAATACTCGAAAAACGATTTATGTTTTTTTTCAAATTCCCAGATTTTTAGATTGATTCTTTCACAAAAAAATGGGGTTACTAAGCAATTCTGTGACATTTTAAAATTTCCTCCTGGTGTTCTGAAGGCTTGATCATTCAGTCTGTCTTAAGAAATTTTTTCAAACCACAAAATCTTAGTACACTTCCTAGATTTATCTGAGTTCCTAAGCCTAGTTACAGACCTTTAAACATTTTTTAGAATATCCCTCAGGCAGAGTGAGAAGATACTCTTTAACTTTAGTCGCCAACATTAATATTCTCATTACTTAAATTTGACTTTATATAGTCAAGATCATTTCACACTCTCGGTTACTTACTACTGCAAGTCAGCACAGCACAGGAATTAATGCATTTTGTGCCTTTGACTCAAATTAAATAGCAAACACTGCTGTTTGTGGCCTTTTCGGCCAATGAATAAAAAATATTTCATTTCTAATTCTCACCAGAAGGATTTAAATTAAACAGTAACCGATGAATTGAGTGGGTATGGAATACTAAATAGGGACTGACAAGTGAAATAATGCAGCTCTTCACTTTTACAATGAAAATGAGAATTGATTCTGCATCTAGAGATAGAAGTAAAAGGACAAGGGTTTTTAAAAAAGCCTTCTTCACCAAAAGAGCAAAATAGCACTCAGTGGCATTGCATTGTTAACAAAATTTCTTTATCAGAAACTATAATTTAATATTTAAGTATCTAATTTACATGTGACAAGATTCATATTCAAAAAATTAAATTGCAACTAGAAAACTATTAACCACTAAAAACAATACCAACACAACCCAAACATTTATAAGAAAGCAACAGCTAGAATTTGAATTGGAAAATAATGTTTCATCATATTTGGCTCATTAAACAAAGCATCCATTACAGCCTGCACAAAAGCGCATTTCTTCTAATTCATCAAAAGTTTATCCTTTGTAGCTTGAATAACAGGTAAAGTTAGATCGATTGACTCTGTACGCACGTATGTCTATACATACTGTGAGACATACAGTCGAGTATTGATTTAAGACTATTGTATCTACCGATAACAGGCTGAACTTTGGAAGGTGCTGAAGTCCATATTTCTACATGACCTTGACCCATTTAATAATGTCTTTTTATAAACAGAAATTACATAAAATAATCTGATTTTTATTAACTAATATTTTCTTAAGCATAATAGTAAACAATGAAGGAATTGCACTTATTGTAAAGGTACAGTAAAGTGTTAGATTGCAGCTCAGCCATCAAAGATCAGGGATTGTAGTATTGATAAGTTGTGCATTATATGCAAAGATCATGGTGTTCATCAAAATTAAAATGAAGCAACTTGTTACAGAACAAATAGGGGGATAACAGAAGAAAACATGCACTACTGCTACTTTAATGCAAAACTAATTTCTCCCAGGAACCAACCCTTGACCTTCCTTACACACACACACACACAAAAACCAGGTTCTGCACCCTTAGCAAAACAGTAGACTCGGACTTCTGTATTCAAATTCTAGTTCATTGTCTCTGAGTGTGCTGTTCTAATGTCATCTCCTTAAGCTGCCTTTGAAATTCTGGATCATCTACAATATGACAGTCTCTTGGCTACGTTTCATTGAGCCTTGATATCCCCTTCAGTTTTATATAAATAGGGTCCGTTATTCATCTTCTTCTGGCTCCTGTGGTAACACGGGTATTTCTTCTTTTAAACAATCACTGAAGAATCTGAGGATTGTGCTGTAGAGATGATACTTGCTTTTCTCAGATATGTTATGGCCTTCATCTGGGTAGATCTACAGGAGGGAGGAAAAGTATTTGAAATTACTAATGCATTTCTGTCTCAAAATTCTATTTATGAATCCTTCCTCAAGCTAACTGTTCCTTGACAGTACTGATTCTATTGAGCCATCTAGCATAGGAACCAGTGTAAATCCTTATTAATAACTACATGAAGTTGAACACTGATGAAAAATTTATCCCCACTCTTTACTATAATACTATTTTCTCAAGAATCCTTTTGCTACTTATTATTATGAGTAATGAAAGTGAGGAAAGACAAAGTTTCCCTTTAAATGTCAAATTTACAATTTTAACATAATTTATTATTAGTGGTATGAAAAAATCTAGGAAAAATAAACCTTTAAAGCTGTATATAAATTTACTCGTAAAGCATAACCTCATATTTTCAGCATAACTAGATAAAAGAACACAGTTTTTAGAATCTAAAAACTTTGGGAAAATAGTACTAGAAGGAGTGGAGGAGTAGTTTTAAACTGCGTTCTGTATCTTACAAGTAACATCATCAAGACAGCAAACACATTTACTGAAAAGATGACTTACCTGCATAGTATAATTCACTCCAGCTTTGATTAGGTGTTTGATTAATTCTGCTGAGTGCTGAAAATGAACTTTTGCTGCAAGAAATTAAATCATTATATTAGAAAAAAAAGATCACTTCGAACCAGAACTTATTTATAATTTAAAACAGAGATTACATATTTTGCTTTACATGAATTGTGTAGCAAAAATACATGCTTAGCTTTAACTAGGAACCTGGTAGAAATGATGACAATAATACTTTGCCACATTATAAAGAAATAAATTTAAACAGAGCAACAAATAACAAGGTTTACTTACTGTACAGGCATTTATACTTTTATTGGGTATCATTTATTATGCCTAATTGTTCACAAAGTTTATGTAATTATAACAATTTTAATACAGCAAACTGATTTACTCTGATCATGACTAGACTCAAATATTGGAATTATCTTTCGTTTTATTTTTTACTATTTAGGGGAAACACCTGATAGTTTTTATGGGTAACTCCCAGCTCTGTGCTCAGGGGTCACTTCTGGTGGTGCTCAGGGAATGTGAGATGCTGGGAATTAATTTGGGCCTCCTGTATTCAAAGTGAGACAGGCAGGTAGATAAGATGGGCTCCCATGGCCGTGGCACTTCTGGAAAATCATAAAACCAATCGCTCCAAGGTTGCGAAAGCCCACCTTGTGAATATGGGAACTAAGACCTGCTAAGAGCATTATCTGGGCAGACCTAGAAAAGTCTAGAGCCTCACGCAAAGAGAAGCTCCAGCAGGAACAAAGACAGGAAAGAAATTTTAAAGATCACCAACTGCTCCCAACTCTACACTTTTGGCATTACTCCTCACAAAGAACTCTTACCTAAATTGGAAGCTGCACAAGGGGTAGTCTGCGAGAAACCCTATAAAAACCCAACTTAAACAAAGGAAGCGAGTGCAAATGCTGCCCAAGCCCATGTGCTACAGAAGCAAAAGAGTTGACTGCATCTCCCTCTTGAGATGTGTACTTTCATGCTTTGATATCAAAAGCAGAGACACTTTGGAGAATCCTGCCTTCTCTCTTGAGTACAATATTCTCTCTTCCCAGCCCCCCACCTCTTTCTTTCTCCTTTCCTCATGTTCTTAAAAAATCCTCCATCTCTGTCTCTTTCTGTCTCTTTCTCTTTCTTTCTGTCTCTTTCTGTCTCTGTCTCTCTGACTCTCTGTCTCAGTCTCTTTCTTTTTCTCCTCCTCTCTCTGTCTCTCTCTATCTCTCTGTCTCTGTCTCTGTCTTTCTCTCTCTCTCTCTTTCTCTCTGTCTGTCTGCCTCTCTCACTTCACTGCTCATCTCCTACTGAAGTTCTTTTTCGAAAGGAAGGTAAAGGAGCCAAGAGGCCTAGTACTGGCTTTCTTTTCCTGTAAAGAGCAATTCCTCACTCCAGCCCGAGTCCTCAGGTCCCTGAGAAAGCAGGTGTTAGGGATTAACTAACATGCCAAGCAGAGCAGACAGAACAAGTGGTTTTCAGGTACGTTTACGGATGCTTAGTGTGGCTGGTGGGACTTGAGGTCTGTGCCATGCAGGGGCTCACTGCAGACTTTAGTAGTCCTACATTTCCCAGCTGGCCCCACCATGACAGTGGTGGATCTTCAGAAAGCAGCAGATCCCCTTCTCCAAGCTCCCTCTCTCTCCTCTCTGCTTCACATAAGTCACCCCTGGGAACCCACCAACATCGACAGCATGTATTTAGCTATTGGCTTTGGCCTCCTCTCTTTTATTTTGAATTAAAAGAGTACCCCAAACTTGGAAAATAGAATATTTGTCTCCTTATTCCATGGCTAAATATTGTGCATGGTCGTGGTTCCACCTGTCTCTAGAATCTTTCTGCCTGAACCTAATTTCCATATCCAAGGCAAGCCCCTTAGATCTAGTAGATAGCAGCACTGACTCAAATCAGCTATGAAAATTTGGACAAAAAAACTCAGATCTCCACACGGCACTTTGCTTAGATGTTCCCTGGATTTTTATTCCTAAACAATGCAGATCTTGAAACTTCTGCAACTATCTATTAATCTATTTTTAAAGCAATTTTTGTTTTTGTTTTGTTTTGGGACTATAGGGCTGTGCTCAGGACTTTTGTCTTGGTGTTCAGGAATCACTCCTGGTGGTGCCCTGGAGACCCCATGTGGTGCCAGAGAGAAAACCATGTCCCATACTTTACCTGTTCTTCTTTTCCTTCCCTAATCTGACATTTTTAAACTATTTTTGGAAATCGATTTGGACAGCCTTCTTAATATTTTACTGCTGTACTGATTATCTATGCTGTATGGTAAACAGCCCGCACGGCAGAGCCTGGCAAGCTCCCCGTGACGTATTCGATATGCCAGACACAGTAACAACAAAGTCTCTAATGGAGACGTTACTGGGCCCGCTCGAGCAAATCGACGATCAACGGGAGGGCCTTTTACTTTACTGTATGGTAAACAGCAAAAGGACTCACCAGGTTTTGTTTGCTGTTTTTGTTAGTTTTGTTTCGTGGAGTGTTTGGAGTCACACCCTGTGATACTCAGCATGGAAGTGAAAGTAGGACCCTCCCCCAACCCCCCCCCACACACACACACCAATGAGGGAAGAAATGGCCCAATTTGGGATTCTCAGCTGACCAGCTTCTCAGTTCAGTGCAAGAGCCTGAGGCCGCTCCTCTGGCCCGCAGTCTTGGGGATACTCGGGATTCTTGGTGGTGCTCATGATCATTATGGTCACTATAGAAAGGCTTGGGGACCTCATGAACCCTGAGATGCTTGGAGACCACGCATACATGCTATGCATGTATCCTAACTGCTGTACTATTTGATACCTGACCTAAAGATTTGAATGTTAAGGTCTGTTTATTCCATGCTGGTAGCACCTTGCATGCTCAGCTCTGCCATACCTGAGGACATCCAGTGTTTGGGGTTGATCAGTTTTAGCCAAAACTAAAAAGGCAAATGCATGAGTGAATTTGTATGTGTTCAGTTTTCTAGTTCAATCTGTTGATATTTGTCACTTGTCCCCTTCTAAAGTTAACTAAGGGTGCTAGAGGTATATATGATTTACTATTTAAACTGATTTGCTGGTAATATATGAAGGTTGTACTAATTTAGGTAGTGCTAGAGCGTAATTAGTATAATCCAGCAGACCCATGTTGGTGATATCTGTGCAGAGAAAACTTGCATGTGTTTTTCTGTATGCATGTTCTCTGAAGTGATCAGTATCGAACTTCTACTTGCTTTTTGTCAAGTGGGTGAAGAAACAGCTGAATGAGTGAATCAGATAGGATTTTTATTTTCCATAAGAACTGTAAAGTATTGACAGAGACATTTGAAGAGCAATAGTCTCTTTTAGGGTCATAATTAAATATGAAATATTTGTAGTTGGAAGAAAATTTATTCCCACCAGTTAGCTTTTAGAACACAAGTGAATAAGTGACTGAATGCCAAATTCTAATTCCATTTCTACAAACCAGTTGTTGTATGAATTGGGCACATCATATAATTTTTTAAAATTTTCCCAAGCTACTACTACTACTAATAAATAATACCTTGTCCACAGTATCTTTGTGACAAACTATTTGATATTCATAGTTGGAGAGACAGAACAGGGGCTAAGGTACTTGCTTTCATGTGGCTGACCCAGTTGACCCTGTGATGTTCAGATGAACATCTTAGGCAGAAGATGAACACAGGCTCCCCAAATGTAAATCATGCATTCAATTTATGAAGCTATGTCTCTGTATTTCTCCATATAATACTCTTCTAAAGCAAACAACACTGGAACTTGGGATGGGAAGAGAGCTAAGTCTTTCTTTTGCGGAAAGTATTCACGTACATTATTTGAAATTGACTTAAGAACAATTTTTGTCTTCACCCCTTTCTTATTTAAATAAGTGTGTTAATATTGATCTGAGCTTTAAGTTAGTCATTCCCTTACTTAAAGATCAAGCTTATATAATCTTTACTACAAGAAATGTTTAGTGATATTCTTTGTAAATTTAGGTTTTAAAAAAAGGCAGGACATAGTGGAACAACAAAAACAAGTTTCAGATTTCAGAAATATTGATTCAAGGTTCTTAAAACTCCTTTGCTCACTTGCCTGGTGGCCTTGGAAAAATCAATTTTCTCCTTGAAATTGATTTTTCTCATCTATGAATGGAGCTATAAATACTCAACCCTCTGTTGTAAAGTATTACATAGAAAAATAAAAAATAAATTCTTTGAGTACTAAGTGCTTCAAGTGAATATAAAATGATGTTATTTATTACAAGTTATATCATTCACATCAACGCCAACGTTTAAAGTGATAAGAAAAAAAGTAGGAGTTGATATAAAAGTATTTTTCTGGGGTTTTTTGTTTTGATTTTATTCAGGCAAGTAACCACATCAGAATTCAACTCAGTACTGTTCCTTTTTGCTCCTCTGCTGTTTTTCATGGATTTCCATTTGAGATGTTTGAATATTACTGCTAGAGGTAGTTGTTAACCATAAGCAGGTTTTTAAATTCTGACTATATAAAATGAAATAGAAACAAAATCAGCCTCTCTATTACAATAAGCACATGCCATGAAGCATATGTGGCACAAATAGAGACCATTTCTCCTAATAAAAAAGCTTCATGGGCAGAGAATTTCATCGCTTCCTCTCTTCCTCTGCTCTTAGCCTCACTTCTATAATTTCTCATACTCACCCTCTATGCCACTTTCCTATGATTTCTTTTTCAGAAAGTTCAAAGGGCCCACATAGGGAAATTTTTTGGTATATGCCTTTGTTCCAAGGAAGAATTCCCCAATCTGGGGTTTGAGATAGCTAGTAAAGTATTTGCTTTGCATTCAGCTGAACTGAGCTTGATCCCCAGAACCAAATAGGGACCAACAGCAGGGCTGGAAATGATCCTTGTGCAAAGAGCCAGGAACAATCCTTCAGCACTACTGAGTGCGGCTCATAAAACAAAAGCAAACAAAAAACAAAACAAAACAACAAAATAAAAACAAACAAAAAGCAAAAAAAAAAACACAACAAAATAAAAACAAAAAGAACCCACCAATTAATGGTAGTAGATATAATACTTACCATCAGCGGTACCATGAATTATTAATATGTTTTCTTCTTTTAAGCCATGGATGTTATGTAACACACTTGATGCCTATAGGGAAACACAAATATCAGAATTTACCTATATGTATCAGATTTACCTATATTTGCCTTTTCTCAATTTTTAGAACAGAAGTACTTTTCTTTCTTGGTTAGTCAAAAATAATTACCTGATAAGTGCTTTCTTCTTTAGATGGCATACCAAGGTATTTTTCAGAGAAAGCTGATGCTGTGAAATAAGAGAAAGAGAGAGAGAGAGAGAGAGAGAGAGAGAGAGAGAGAGAGAGAGAGATATTTAAAAATAAACTAAAACCATTTGACGAAAGCACTGCATTGTTTAATTTCTATGTTTCACATATAGTTGTCATGCTCCAGTAAAACTGATTGAATCAGGGAGGTAATAAACAACTGAAAATATCAGAAAACATGATAAATGAGCTCAATTGAGGTCTGCTGCATTGTGATTTTCTTTTCTAAAATCAATATGCTATATTAGGTTAGTCTGAAGAAAATACTCACCATACAATTTCAAGTCTATGATAGGAGCTATCACAGATCCACATTTAAATAACTTCTCATCTGATTTTAAGATCATTGAAGCAATATATCCACCATATCCCTGGTAAAATAAAAGAGCTAAACTAATTATTACTGAAATTTTTTTAGATTTAGATTACGATTTAATATTATACACAAAATAATGCCTCAAAACATTCCAGACTTCAAAAAAGTTAATTTGTACTCATATACTTGTATAGATACATTTTAAAATAGTTCTTATATTCTATTTTAATAATTTTAGATAAAATACAATATTCTATATTACCAGGTGTTACATACATATTTTGATTTCGCCCTATACTAGAAATATATCCAAATAATTAAAAGTGAGAGAAATGGAGTACTTACATATTCTTTTAAGCAATTTTGTATCTGTATTGCACACATATCTGTATTGCACACATCTACCTATAAAACTATGTATATACCTGTTTATTTACCTGCCTACCTACTCACTTATATATAGCATCACTAATAGAGAATTTATATTAAATATCCCACAGTTAAATATGAGAATAAAGTAGGAAATAATTAATTATGTTGCTGGTTAGATTAATTTAATTATTGTTGAAATCTAAAATTTTATTATCCTCTTTTAATGTGTTAGAACTAATTCAATTGAAAATTCTTAAAAAAAAAAGACCAAGTTGCAAGTTGTCATATTTTCTACTGTGACTTGTAGTAAATATAGAGACATTCCAGGGGAGGTTTTAGTCATCACCATGATGCTGTACTGTGCCAAGGCAGTGACCTACTGAGTTACCCATTCATGTCAGAAATTAGTTTTTAGCTGTAGTAAAGGTAATATTTTTCATGTTATTTGACATCAGAACACACTGGGAGTTGTTCAAAGTAGTAATAAGCAGGATTTAACTAAAAAAATTCTAATGAAACCGCCTCACTATGAGGTATAATTTTAAATAGTTAGAGATGATTCTATCGTGGCACACTGGTGTAGAATTTATAGGAGAGCCCGGCAAGCTACCGAGAGTATTCGATATGCCAGACACAGTAACAACAAAGTCTCCAATGGAGACGTTACTGGGCCCGCTCGAGCAAATCGACGATCAATGGGAGGGCCTTTACCTTTACCTTACCTTACTAATTTTTGGCGTGTGAATGACACATATTTGCTTAAGTATATTTAGTACATTATTTTCAAACTTACACATGGAATATGTAAGTTCGATGATTTGCCTTACTTAAAGATCAAGTATTCAAGAACGCATTTAGACAAGACTGAACAGTCAGGAATAACTATGTGAAGAGTACCCCGAAAAATGCCACATTGACATGCTGACAATTTTGTTAGTGAACACTTAAAAAACAGTGGATAGTGAGCGCATTTTTTGGATATTCCATTATCTGCTTAAAGACAAATTCTCCAAAAAAATCAATTGTTCTAAATCCCTCCTCACGAGCTTGATCAATCAAAACAGATCAACTGTTTCACAGTTGAGGCAACCCACTTAAATGAACCTTTTACAAACTGTGAGGATTTCCGTCTATTCCTCTGGGATGAACACTCAATTTCAGAATCTCTGTTTGGAGGTTCAGTAGTGACACAGCTATGAAAATTCTTGTGTAACGTACTCATTGTTCCCAAACACAACCCAGGATGCAGGAAGCAAACATGCTACCCTCTAGATATATAAGCCATAAATCTTTTAGGCAAACTCATTCGAGAGATACGTCCCTGCTCTCCTCCTTCTGCGTTTTCTCAGTAGGTTTCCATTGCACACCTGGATGTACACTGTTGATCATGCTGCTAGCTTACAACAACTCTGTAAAATACATATCAATAGGATACGTGTAGCATCTAGCATACAAGAAGACCCTATCTCAGTCCTGACTCACAGGCCCAAGTTACATTCCCTAGCATAAATCATGATGTTGGCTTCCTAAGGTGTGTGTTGTGTGTGTGTGTGTGTGAGTGTGTGTGTGTGTGTCCCTGGTATGGCAGCAGGGTGGGGTGTGGGGAAATACATCAACAAAGGAGTATATAAACCCAAACAAATAAAAATCACAAGAATTCTAGAGAAAGATTACTTTATTATCCCTTCTTTGGAAGTATCCTATGTTCATAAAAAATGATTTCTTATGATGATAATTCCCGCAATAAACAATTTCAAAAACCCTCACACTCTCTAGCTGTATCAAAAACCCGACAAGGTCATTCATATTTCTTAAATATTCATTTAAACTACTTAAAAAGGTAGCATCTCTCTCCTGAGATGGTACTTTAATGTGAATTAAGTAAACTCAGAGTTACTTATTTTTCACTGGGTATCTCCCAGGTATACAAGAGATATACATGTCAATTCATTTATTTCATCTTATGTTAAACTGCATAATTAAAATTAATACACAGTTAATGACATGGAAAGATAAAGGGAAAGTTATTTTTCTTCCCATGTATGTCAAGGATGTGTTTGGATATTTATTAACCAGAAATGTTAGCAAAGAATCTTCAGGAGTTAGGAATAGAGGCAATTGAAATTATCCATTGTAGAATTAATCTATGGAGGTGTCAGAAAAATAATGCAGGAGATAAGGCACTTGCATGGCAGACCACAGACCTTATTTGGATTCCTGACACCACAAATGGTTCCATGAGCACTAAAAGCGTCAGAAATACTCCTGAGCACAGACAAGTCTGGACCAAACTTCACCAACTCTCCACCCCCTTCACAAAAGTTGAGACAACAAAAAGCATCTTTATTCAGTTTCATTAAATAGAAGAGGAATCACCTTATGTCAGCATAATTTGAAAATAAGGGATTTAGAGGTATTAGCAATATAAAAATAAAAATGGAAGGGAGAGGAAAGGACTATTTTTTTGTTTGTTTGTTTGTTTGTTTTTAACTTTTTTTCAGATCGTAACGGAGATATCCAATAGACCAAGAAAGATCCAGAAAAAGCATCTGGAAGGAGAATACAGTTTGTAAGGTCTTGCTGTGCTGGGTTCAATCCCCAGCATTACACAAAGTTCCTTGACTATAACCAAGTGTGAATTCTGGCTATAGTCAGGTTACAGCTCAGGAGTAAACCCTGAGCACTTCTTGTGGGCTCAGGGAGACAGAAGAGATGCTGGGGATCAAATCCGATCTTCCTGTGCGAAGCAGTCACCTACCCTCTGCACTATTGTTCTGGCCATGAAAACGAAGAGGTTTATATAAATGTATCTTTTTTAATGGGTAACTTCTATTTCGATTATAGTTACCTCTGTATCTGTTCCGTTTGTTAATATTTTAATAAACTTACAATTTATTTACATGATCATATTTCAGTTTTGGGGCCTGATATTTCTTAAAATAATCAGTTCAAAATTATCTTTATATAAAATAGATTTATTCTATAATTTCCTATTCTGCTTCCTAATCATAAGAATGAAGAGACATGATGAGTTACATGTGTAAATGAATAAATAAATATTATAGAGTAGAAGTATGGATCATTGTTATAAGAGGGAGATTTTTCAGTTTACTGTTTCTAATATGTGTCATGCATATAAAAGAAGGGTGTTATATAGTGAAGAATCTTCAAATATCCCCATGGTGCAAAATTATCTCCATAGTAAAAAAAAAGTCAATTTTAACCTAAGATATATATATATATTTATGCATATATGCCTGTGTATATATAGATGTGGATGCATATGTATGTATATATATTACTCACGGGGCTGGAGCGATAGCACAGCGGCAGGGCATTTGCCTTGCACACAGCCGGCTGGGCTGAGCTGGGTTTGGTTGCTCCATCCCTCTCAGAGAGCCCGGCAAGCTACCGAGAGTATCTCGCCCGCGCGGCAAACCCTGGCAAGCTACCCGTGATGTATTCGATATGCCAAACACAGTAACAACAAGTCTCACAATGGAAACGTTACTGGGCCCGCTTGAGCAAATTGATGAACAACGGGAAGACAGTACAGTGATATTACACACATTTCTTTCTTCATTTCAATTCTGCAGTGACCACATTTTGCCCTAATCACGATTTAGTTTTCTCTAATAATAATAATATGAATAACAATTACTGTCACTGTCACTGTCCTCCCGTTGTTCATCAGTTTGCTCGAGAGGGCCCAGTAACATCTCCATTGTGAGACTTGTTACTGTGTTTGACATACCGAAATAATCTTGATTGTACATTTCAATCCTCCTATGAATAAAAAATACTTTAAAATAAAGTGAATTTTAAAACTGGTATTTTAAAAAAACAGTTCGGTATGTCTCTTAAGGTCTGTTTAAATAAATTTCTAGAACCTAAGGAAGAAAACACCATACCTTAATACATGTGTGTATGTGTGAATGTGTGTGTGTTTGGGGGGGGGGGGCAATCAGGAGGGAGACAGATCCTTGAATGATATTTTCAAATTGAAAGTTCAATCAATGGCTGAGATATCTTGTTTGAACATACATTCTAATTCAGTAGTCATGGGGTGGAGCTAAAGATTTAGCAAGAATTTTCTAGACATCTCTGGAGCAGCCCCAAGAGGAATTCCTGATTGCAGAGCCAGGAGTACCCCTGAGCATCCGGTGTGACTGGAAAGGAAAAAAAAAAAAGAATTTCCTAGATTTCACGGCCCTCCCATTGTTCATTGGTTTGCTCAAGCGGACCCGGTAATGTCTTCATCGTGAGACTTGTTGTTACTGCGGCATATCGAATATGCCATGGATAGCTCACCAGGCTTTGCTGTGCGGGCGAGATACTCTAGGTAGCTTGTCAGGCTCTCCGAGAGGGGCAGAGGAATCGAACCTGGCTCAGCCGGGTGGGCTGCACGCAAGGCAAAGGCCCTACCGCTGTGCTATCACTCCAGTCCAAACAATGGTATATCAATAAAAATGAAAAAGAAAGCACTACTTGTATTGCAAGAGATGAGGAATTACTATCAAGGGATGCTGCTGAAGCTCTGCCAGTGGAGGGGTATGCAAGAAGGACAGCACGTTAGAAGTTTAAAATAATATGTCATTAGGGCCAGGGGCCAGAGGGATAGTTTAGCTGTAAGGGTGCTTGTCTTACACTTCCCCAAACCAGATTTGATCCTCTCCACCAGTA